TGAGACTGCGGTTGCCTCGGTGTGATTCGAGGCCATGGCACCAACCTGAACCAGCAGTCACTGTATTCTTAACCACCTGCATTCACAGTAGAAGAAAAAAAAAATGTCAGTTTCACGTAAGAGTGCCCTTGAAGAAGCATGACAATTACTAATTTTATTAAATTTCATCTCTTCAAGAGGCACATTCTGTGTAATATAATTGGGAATACACATACATCTCCTTTGCACACCAAGGTACAAAGACTGTCTTGAGGAAAGTATTCATGTTACTATTTGACTTGTGAGCTAAAATAGCTGCCTTTTTCTTAAAACACCAATTTTACTTAAAAGAACAACTGATAGACAAACCATGGTTAATCAGGCTTGGGCACTGGGCAGGCATTCGCTCAAATATGAATCATGTGAAACTGTCACTCAAAGAAAACATTTGTTGCAATGAGCATAAAAAGTCATCGAGAGGTTCCAACTAAACTTAAACTCGTACTTGTCAAGTTCTGGTATGGTGTCAAAGAAGATCTACAATAATCTGAACATGTCATTAAAATACTCCTTCCTTTTCCAAACTTGTATCTTTGTAAGGCAGAATTTTGTTCATAAACTTCTACCAAAATAACATATCATAACAGATTGAATACTTAAGCAAATATAAAAATCCAACTCTCTTCTACTTAGATATAATAGATTTATAAAAATGTAAAATAATGTCATCCTTATCACTAATTTTTTTGTTTTGTAAAATGTAGTTATTTTCCATAAAAATATATTCACATGTATTTGGTTCTTCAGTGTTACTTTTAAATGATTTAATATAGATTTTAAAACTTTTCCTTCAGTTTTAATTTCTAATATACAGTAAATACTGATAGGTATAACCCCAATTAGCAAAAGTTTTTAGGTGTCCCAATAATTTTTAAGAGTGTGAAGGAGAGCCCTGGTCAGGTAGCTCAGTTAGTTGGAGCACTGTCCTGATAGGTCAAGGCTGCGAGTTCAATCTCTCATCAGAGCAATTGCACAATACAAAAATCAACCACCCCCCAAAAAATCAAAAATCAATAACTTAAAAATAAAAGTCTTGGGATCAAAGAGTTTGAGAAACAATGGCCTGGAGAGTGCTATCTTCAGTGTCTTATACATTCACTTTTTTCTGTCCCTGCAGCAGTGTCTTTTGTGCCCACTATAATGAAGAGAACATTTACATAAAGGTTGGTGCTAGCACAATGTTATAATATTTGTATAATGTTTGGAAAGAAAATAGTTAAAAAAAGGCATTGCCAATTGGATCTATTTTTTACAGGTCTTTCACTGTAAGTCATTTCTATTAACCGTGCCTTGCTATAGATGTTTATAACAAAACATTAAAGACTGGGTGGAAAGGAGAAAACAAATTACTCTGCAGAGAACCCAGCAACTCTGCTAAAATACTGTCAGTTATTTATCTACTGTCAGCAGAGGTTGCACACTATAATCCTTGACAAGCTCAGATTCAGAAAGAATGAAGAGAGGGGGCAAGCGTCGCATTTAAGGGCCTGTTCTCATGCACAGACATTTTAACACAGATTTAAAGCCAGAATGTATCTTCCAGAAAATGTCACTTTTGATTTTGATACATATCCTAGCAAGTAGGCTCTACATTTGGTTGACTTAGTACGAGATATGTTAGAGGCTAACACTATATTTTAGACCATTCATGATCCCAGCGTGGAACCAACACAATGAGGTCAGCATCACTTCATTTTTAGAGCTGGCTACTGCAACTGCATGATTTCATGGGCATATTTTTTATGATAAGGAGGAGGGTTCTATTTTTGTTTGGTTAGGCAAGGTAATGACAGCCTCTAAGAATCCGGTTGCCCTCACTAGTGTCTGTTTCTCCTTTATGTTTACAGGAGAAATGGCCATTAATGCACTCTCCTGTTCTGAAATCCTCTCTGGAAAACATATGCTGGCCAAGGCAAAAATGCAACACACCGAAGAGCTTCCTGGGGTCAATTCCAAAGAAAACACACCTTCAAGCAGGTAGTATAAGTAGCTCATAATACTGACAAGAACATGTGCAGCACAAGGTTATGGGGGAGGCTCCAACTCAGAAGGCTCCATAACGGATACGCCCCAGTCATTTTAGCAGAAACCATGGTTTTCTTTACAATAGAGCTCGTATTGACTGGTCAATTACATGATTTCTACCCGTGCGATCAGAGGTCTAAATAAATGTGTGCTTGTAACTGGGGATGTTTGATGAACGCTGAACCAGAATCTTAATTTTCTAATTCAGATTCACCAATTAAAAATAAACTGTATTTTTATGAGCAAATTTACATAAATCAGATGATAAAGCATCTACCACTAAAGGATAGGAGTTCAGCTCACAACATTTGCATACACTCTCCTAAAGAAAATATAGGCGTTTGAGATTTTCATTGAAGACTCTTGCTGCGCTGGAACTCTAATGGGCTTAGAACAGTAAATTTTGAAGAAACTGATTGCTATCCCTGTAGCTAGTAAATGTCTGCCTAGACCCAGTGGCATTTGAAAAAAGTGTTTTATCATAAAATTATCCCAGCAGAGTCCATTCTGCAAGATAACATCATCATCATCATCATCAGTACTCCATGCAGGACCCGACAGCTCTGGCACAATATTGCCAGTCATTTATCTGTTGTCAGCACAGGTTACACACTGTAATCCTTGACTGCCTCGGAATTAGAATGTCTTTGATGTCCCCACAAGAGTTTTTTGCCCGAAGGCTTTACCAATGCTCGGCGGCTCAGTGTTTATTCCTCGTAATCTTCCTCTCATCTCCAGGCTAGCAGTGACAGATGGTTATGGGCACACA